GAAAACTGACAGAAACCCATTCTTTTGCTGGGTTAAGTTTTTGTTGGGTTACTGAGCTGAACAGACTCATCAAGGGCTAGGATGGGTCCCAGACTGTTGCAAAGCACTGGTGAGGACTGTGTTGCTGGAGATGATAGTGGGTGGGGAAAAAGACAGAGGAGTTGCCTGTTTTTCTTCCTCACTGCCCACTTTGGGATCAACGGCTCACCCCGTTTTGTGGGACCTTGGTCTTGTGTCTCAGTTACCATATGTAATTCTGCTTTGAATCTGACTGCCTCGGCCCAGACCCATCTGCTCGTCTGGTGGGGTCCACAGCAAGCAAGGCATTTCTAGTGCAGGTCTGGCATGCAACCCCAGAGCATCAGCTGTTAGCAGTGACAGGCAAAGCTGCTACCTCTGTCTTAAAGGGACTTGGAGGACGAGGTATGGTGATGCTCATGTCAAGAAATGTGGAGGCTGCCAAGAGGGACTGTTACCGATGCCTTCTGGTGCAGACCTTCTGTTTACAGAACTTCAAGGCCTTGTAATTATAAACATTCAGGGGTCTGAACCGAATCAACAAATCATTGTCTGGTCACTAGAGCTTTGGTCTGGCAGCACAGGGTCTTGAGCCAACTTGCTGGCTTTTATAATAAGCCATAAATTCTTCTTGTGGAAAATGGGTGTATGTTAGGGAAGTGTTTTAGACTTTAAAGGGAAAGTTAATGCATTCGTTAACCTTACTCTTCTTTGGTTTAGCCTTGTTTCCTCAGAGGTAAAATGGGAGCCTCAGCTTAAGTCCAATGAGCTCTGTGTCCTCTGCCAAAGAATTAAGTGACTTCAGCTCTTCTAACAGCACAAAAGCTGAGACAGTTTTGGTTAAACTGAGAAGAAACTAATAATGTTAATAAGGATGCCAGACTACCACTTGTGTAATTGGATGTCTGCTTCCAACCCTTTTATATTCTTCATTTGAGCAAGCCATTTTTTCCCTCTCGGTTCCCATCTGTGAAGTGGGAAGACTTATTAATATATATTAAAGTAGATGTATTCTGCCATAATAAGCACTGTAGAGTAGCAAGTATTCAAAATCCTTCAATTTCTGCAACTGTGTAATAACATGTAGAATTATCTGTACATTTTTTTTCTTTACAGTTTTCTTGAAAGACCGGCTTTATTTGAAGTAGGTCTACTTTGAAAGTTAACACATCTTTCCTTTAGATCTGTAATTTGGTAATTTTTTTTTTCCATTTGATGTTCTGGAATAAAACATAGTAGTTGTTGTAGAATATGCATTGTGACATAATAACTAGGAGACGGAAAAAAAATACTGTCCAATAAATATCTGTAAGAGAACTGAGGGATACATAATTCAGATTTTTTTAATTAGAATTGCAACAAGATTATAGTGAGTTTCTAAACAATTGTTAAATGTAAATAGTTCTAATTTCTAAAGAACAAATTAATTATTGCCTATTCAATGTTACTTAAAAGATACAGAGGTTCAGAACTAGTGATTTAAACACTACTTTTAATTTTTTGTAATGTTATAGTTGATCTATGTCAATATTTTTTGGTATCATAATTTTTTCTTTGGCTGTTCTGGACCATGCAAACAAAGGCACTGTTAGTCTTTATGTGTAATTTCACTGGCTAATTAATTTTTTTATTAGCTAGTTAATTTATTATGGCTTTATATTAAAAAATGTCTTGTTAGATGGTTATGTGCACTTTGGTATCTCAATTTCCTTTTGTTGTTCTTAATACATGCTTGATTTGACTGAAGGATTAAAATGTTTTCAGAAGGCTCTGTTTTTTGACTTCTATGTCTTACAAACTACGGAGGTAAGAGAAGTCTGAGTAGGTGCTGCTGCTTCATACACTTAATTTCTGTATATATCTACTAGGTGCTACAGTGCAGAGCATGAAATAGATTTATTTTCTTTTAACTTGATTTGTTTGTAATGCTGAGTTCTCTTATGGCAACACAATGGCAATAAAATGGATTAAGCCTTACAGTGGAGTATCACTCTGTTAACTGCCAGTGGGCAAAATCACATTAATTTTGTTTTCATTCCTCATTTGTGGTTTCTAGCTTTTTTTGTGGACAGTTTTCATATTCATTAACAGATTTATTTTGCTCAGTGCAGTTTTCTGTGCACTTTCTGTGTCATCGTTTGAAAGGTGTGCAGTACAGTGTCTCCTTTCTGTTTACACAATGGTTTGCACAAGTTGAAGATGAACTCA